GGGGGGGGGGGGGGGAATACTGTATGTTGCTGTGTGATGTACAAAACTTTGGCTCTTCCTCTGAGGCGGACAGGCGCACAATCCTCCCTTTGTTTTGTAGGAAACCCCCTTTCTGTGCACTCAATTAGCGCCCCCTTCACCATAAGCAGAAAAACACACCCCATTTGTTCTCATTCACTCCATCTGCAAGCTACCATAGCAACCCTCACAGTGAGGTTGGTCACATCAATGGGAAGCGATGGCGGCACGCATCCAACAGCCTGATAATTCCCCCACGGACAGCACCATTTCCCCCGAGTCCATGTGGAGGTAAAACCTTTTAGGCAGCATCTGCTCTCCGTGTACACACACACTCAAATCAGGACAAGACACTGCTCATCAGTTACGTTGTTTTATTACTACAAAAGTACTGATTTCAGTAACAAAATTCATGTTTGTTATTCACCAGCAGCTTGGGCATGACATTCATTTTTTGCATTATGCATAGTATCACTATAGGCATAACAAAGCTTTGAAAGAGGATAAGTATTGGCCGACAGGGCAAACGCCTTGCAAGACTTCCATCAGGAGAAACCCACTGTAGTTCAAAAAACGATGCAAATAAAAAAATACCAATGTGCCAAAACACAAAGGAAGAAACATCTTTACCAACTTGACAACACATGCACAAGCGCTAACTAAGAGCGCTGCATAAACAAATGCTGCAAGAAGCTGAAAAAACAACGGAAACCAGGGGGCACTAAAAAGTGATGCACACAGCTGGGACCACTTGTTGATGTTTTGGGATTATAAAGTTGGCCAACTGTTACTGGAAACATAACTCAAATGTTTAAAATATTATTTTACCTTCTGATATTATTGCAGATCTGCTGTAAGCTAGCTAGCCAATGTAGCCAAATGTATGATATATTCAAATAAACAGAAAAAACACTTAGAATGATGAAATGGACTGACTCGGCGTCATAAAATATCAAAGTAGCACTTGGGCTCCTTGCAGCGCTTCGTTTATGCAGCGCTTTTAGTCAACTCTGTGCATGAGTTGTGTTGATTGAGATGTTCCTTCAGTTGCATGTATTTTGGCACATTTCAGTTTTTTATTTGTCTTGTTTTAGAAGCTGCAGCGCGTTTCTCCTGATATGAGTATTTTGGGACATTGTAACCCGTTTGCCCGTGTCGACCACCTTTGATATGACATCATCAGGAAAGGCACAAACATTTAACGACACCAAGCAAGTACAAGTAAAAGATTCACAGTTTACATTTGTTATGTTATTTGTTAGCATTTTTATTCTATAAGAGGATTAGAATGTGTAATTTTGTCATCTTAGTTCATCAGGTCAAGTTAAAGACTTGAGTCAAAACATCACATGACATTAACATAGACATTCCTCCCCCGGGAGGAACTCAACATTAAACACAATAATACCTGAAAATAAGGAGTTACAAAACATGGGTTGACAAGAAATACACTTTATGTAAAAATGACATGTAATGTATCCTATTTTATGTTTTAAGCAAGTTAATATTGATATCCCCCAGTTAATTTGAACTAC